TATACACAAAACGCAATGAATGGGATTACAGCTATGAAGGTATGTTAAACGAGGCCAATATTGGTAACACTTCTGTTACACGACCTGCTACAGTTGCTATGTCAGTTATTATGAAACTAACAGTACTATTAGTAAGACTTCTGTTACACGATCTGCTACATTCGCTATGTCAGTTATTATGAAACTAACAGTAATATTGGTAACACTTCTGTTACACGACCTGCTACAGTTGCTATGTCAGTTATTATGAAACTAACAATATTTTTGTAATACCTCTGTTACACGATTTGCTACATTCGCTATGTCAGTTATTATGAAACTAACAGTACTATTAGTAAGACTTCTGTTACACGACCTGCTACAGTTGCTATGTCAGTTATTATGAAACTAACAGTAATATTGGTAATACTTCTGTTACACGACCTGCTACAGTAGCTATGTCAGTTATTATATAATATTAGATGTAGCTCCTTTTACATAATCTGCTACGGTTGAAAAGTGTGAAAATGACTAAGGGTAACACACATGAAAAGTGTGAAAATGACTAAGGGTAACACACATGAAAAGTGTGAAAATGACTAAGGGTAACACACAAAAATCTTTGTTACTCGATTTGCTACAGTCACTCCGTTACTTGCTCAACAATATTAACTCAACAATATTAACTCAATATTAACTCAACAATATTAACAATTGAAACTTTTCTTTTCATTGTTTAGTGCGTTTTCTTTTTGGTTTTGGTTTTTTTTTTTCGTGCAGGTTACACTTCTAACGAGGGTTTAGACGTTTATTACAACTACCTACCCTACCACAGCCGTCTTGATGATTAATTGTTGCTGCTGAGGGTCCTCTCACAATAATTTGTCTCAGTTCCTCCTCATCTCCAGTACGACAGGCCTTCAAAAATAACGGGTCGACCGATGACTCACCTGGTAATGTCTCATTAGAAATTCCAGGCAAGAGAGAGTCGATAGAGCAATAATGACCTGTACAACCATCACCCTCATGTTTCGTTTCACAGCTATCTTCGCTCAAGTAAGTGTGAGAGTAGAGAGGTTGGGAACACGAATCTGTGCTAGTTAAGTTGTTACTTGTAGGTATAGTTACATTTTCTACTGACAAAGTATCCATTACTCTGCTCCTTTGAGACATTCCGGTAGAAAGATAGGTAGAGAGAGCGTTATGTTCTTCATACCCACAAGCCTCGGGAAATATCAAATCACAACCTGTAAAGATAAAAAAAAACAGTACGGTATACCGCTGAGTATTTTCCCTATTTTCATCTTTGATGGCCTTATAGTTTGTGACAGTTATAATTTACGGTTAAAAGCAGTCACGGGAAAGCTACAGTTGCTATGTCAGTTATTATGAAACTAACAGTAATATTAGTAAGACCTCTGTTACACGACCTGCTACAGTTGCTATGTCAGTTATTATGAAACTAACAGTAATATTGGTAAGACTTCTGTTACACGACCTGTTACAGTTGCTATGTCAGTTATTATGAAACTAACAATATTTTTGTAAGACCTCTGTTACACGACCTGCTACAGTTGCTATGTCAGTTATTATGAAACTAACAGTACTATTAGTAATACTTCTGTTACACGATCTGCTACATTCGCTATGTCAGTTATTGTAAAACTAACAGTAATAAGATCACAGTGATTCTCTGATGTCATGCCACATAATCTATCGACCAATAAGATCACAGTGATTCTCTGATGTCATGCCACATAATCTATCGACCAATAAGATCACAGTGATTCTCTGATGTCATGCCACATAATCTATCGACCAATAAGATCACAGTGGTTCTCTGATGTCATGCCACATAACCTATCGACCAATAAGATCACAGTGATTCTCTGATGTCATGCCATATAATCTATCTACCAATAAGATTACAGTGATTCTCGGATGTCATGCCATATAATCTATCGACCAATAAGATCACAGTAATTTCCGGTTATTACGTTTGTTTGTTTTAAACCACAAAGCTACACAATGGGCTATTTGTGCATTGCTCACCGCAGCTATCGAAACCCAATTTTAGCGAAATAACTCCACTGACTTACTGCTGAGCTACCAGTGGGTTCGTGTTATCTACACAGGTAAGTTGTGTATCCTTCTGTTTAGCTTTTAATAATTTCATCCACTGTTTCCGAGTCTGTTTTTGATCCATTTCTCACTCTGGGTTTTCAGTCTTATATCAGCAGTGAATCTCGAATTCTGTATAATTATTTCCATTTTCATAATCAAATGAGTTGTTTCTTCACGTGCTGTTTCTTTTGTTTTTGTGACAGGTCCTGCGTCAGCCTTATTTCAGGTGGGGGATGAGGCGAGAATACTGAGGGGGCATCAAGGTTTGTAGAATACCAGCGTGTTGGAAACGTTGGCTGGAATGGCTTAGACTTCCAAAGCCCACCTTTAACGCCGCTCCTGTTCCAGCCCATTACGTTCATGATAAACATCACATTCGAGGTTCTACTTATTTATAGTCTACAGTATAAATGAACAAAAATATAAAATATGTGAGTTTAAAACAATACAGATATTGTTGATCACGTGACCCAGAATTCTAACAGATCATTATTCGACGACCTTATTATTGCCCGTCACCCTAGCATCATCGTGGTGAATAATTAATATCTCTCTAGCTTATTATTGTTAAGCGTTTTCTAGTTTATTTTGTCCTGTTGTACATCTGTTACGGTGGATACGTCTTATTCTTGTCAAGTGATCTTTTTTGGACGCAGCGCTGAAGAGATGAATATTATTATCTGGGTTTATTTGGTAAACGGTACTTATTATCGTGCTCTTTGCTAACATATTGTCGACGTCTGTTGTCTTAGTTATCTAGATGAATGAGTATTTAAGTTACGGTCTTGTTTATACTGGGTACAATGTTCATAAAATTCGATAAACGCTGTTAGAGAAAACAAAATGATGGGAAGATGAAAAAGTGACATAGAACAGAATAAAGTAAAAAAAACGGGTGATGTTAAAATAGTCTACAACTATGGCGTTCATTTCGATATGTGTGTGTGTGGTGGGTATAAAGGGGGTTGTTTTAAATTTAGAAACGTGTTACAACACGCAGCTAATATTAGATTGAACTATGTTCGCATGTCACCTTCTCGACGTGTGATGAGTTGCGTTTTATGTTTTATTTCAGTACTCATTAAAGAGTTTTGTGGCTCTAACTATTTCGCCCACCCCCAGTGGCACAGCGGAATGTCTGCGGACTTACAACGCTAGAAACCGGGTTTCGATACTCGTGGTGGGCAGAGCACAGATAGCCCATTGTGTAGCTCTGTGCTTAATTACCAACAGACAAGCTAACTAACTATTTCGAGGAGGGTACTACGAATGCCGGAATGACAGTCAAGCGCCCTCTGTACTTCACTAGTGTCTCTTTCAGGAGATTGTGTATTTTCCGTTTTTGTTCATACAAAAACTATATCTATCTATCTATTTCTCTCCCTCATTCTATTTCTTTCCATCTATCTATTTCTCTTTCATTATATATCTACCTATATATTTCTCTTTCTGTCTATCCATTTCTCTTTCTTTCTCTCTCTCAAGCTACATATTTCGCATTTATTCTCTTTATTTTTGTTCATTTATCTTTCTTTCTATCTCACTATCTATCTATTTCTCTATTACTCTTTCTATTTGTCTATTTTACGAACTGTTCCTTTGTATCCTTACTAAAGTAAAGAAAGCTGGTCCGTAAACGTGTTTGATTGGCTGTAATTTATTGATGTCACAATGCACCGTTATCCGGAAAACGTTTTCCCTCTGGAATTTCAGGTTTTCGTACAGAATAAAAAATGTTCGTCGATGGTGACACGGGTCTAAGTAAACAGGAGTTTATTCATCGTTCTTGCTGTTATCTCCTTTGTGCAAGTCTACTCGGTAAACAAACCCTGAAAATGCATTGAAGCAGACACGATCTGGTGTTTTAGACATCATTGTTAATGTGTTTATAGATCACTTAGAGCGAAATTAAATGTTATACGGAGATCCGCAAAATTAGATATTTTCAGAAGCAAGCTCTATATAGACGAGTCGTTTTGTTTATAATCTCGTATACGTAGATAAAGATAGATATTAATGAAGAAATGTCAGAATTACAAATGTTTTCTGCACCTGTGGTTACCATGTGCAAAAACAAACTTAAAAACTGGTTTAATTCTCAAAAGTTCTTGACGTAAAATCAATGTTGCCCTCCAAGTTATTTCTTTGTGACGTCATCCTTCAGCGAAGCAGGTGGGATGTATATCGAGTGTGTTTTGATGTTTACTAATCTTCTTAAGGATTACTAGTTTTATTATTCTTATATATATATCTGTTCCGAGAACTCACTGACTTAGCTTGCCCTGGTGTAATAAAACAAACAAGCTTACCGAAGAGATGACATTGAGGATATCACCCTACAATATAACACAAGCACAAAAACTGTTGCCTTGGTGTAGTAAAATGAAGAACCTTACAGTAGAGATGACACTGAGGATATCACCCTACAATAAAACACAAGCACAAAAACTGTTTCCCTGGTGTAATAAAATGAAGAACCTTACAGTAGAGATGACATTGAGGATATCACCCTACAATAAAACACAAGCACAAAAACTGTTGCCCTGGTGTAATAAAATGAAGAACCTTACAGAAGAGATGACATTGAGGATATCAGCCTACAATAAAACACAAGCACAAAAACTGTTGCCTTGGTGTAATAAAATGAAGAACCTTACAGTAGAGATGACATTGAGGATATCACCCTACAATAAAACACAAGCACAAAAACTGTTGCCTTGGTGTAATAAAATGAAAAACCTTACAGTAGAGATGACATTGAGGATATCACCCTACAATAAAACACAAGCACAAAAACTGTTTCCCTGGTGTAATAAAATGAAGAACATTACAGAAGAGATGACATTGGGGATATAACACAAGAACAAAAACTGATGAGTAGTAAGAGACCCACCAGGACCCGATAGTTTAGTAGTTCCATGTTCGAAAGGGTTCATGTTCAGTAGTGTTAAGTATATCACGGTCGTGGAAGTATCGTGGGTATTTCGGACAATACAATTAGTTTCATACACATATGTCAGGACACTGCACAGTTCATAAGAATTAGATACAAAATAAAAATATTTTTTTTTGTAGAATGGTATTTAAACACATTTAAGAACGGTGTTTAAAACACATAGAGTAATGTTAATTGTGTCTTTACTAACTGCTTCTTACACCTGTATATAGCAAGGTAATTACCTGTGGAAAAATGATTTAAATATCGCCAGAACACATAGAGTAATGTTAATTGTGTCTTTACTAACTGCTTCTTACATCTGTATATAGCAAGGTAATTATCTGTAGAAAAATGATTTAAATATCGCCAGAACACATAGAGTAATGTTAATTGTGTCTTTACTAACTGCTTCTTACATCTGTATATAGCAAGGTAATTATCTGTAGAAAAATGATTTAAATATCGCCAGAACACATAGAGTAATGTTAATTGTGTCTTTACTAACTGCTTCTTACATCTGTATATAGCAAGGTAATTATCTGTGGAAAAATGATTTAATTATTGCCAGAAATCGACGCTGTGAATTTTTCTGTTTGGTTTATAATTAAGGAAGTATCATACAAAATAACTGAGTTAAGAAATGACCTTAAAAATGTATTAAAACAATTAGATTTTAAAAAAATACCGAATTTCTTAAGATGTTGACTAAAATATCTTCAAATATAAACTATACAGAAATCAATAAAAGCCATGGAAGATTTTGTGCTAATTTAATTCAAATCAAACTCTGCTTATTTAATAATAGTATCAAATCTGGGGCTCAGTAGGGTGGCATAGTGGATCGCTTATCGGGCTGCATTGTGGAAGGTTCAAGGTTCAAAGGTCGATAGATTATGTGGCATGACATCAGAGAATCACTGTGATCTTATTGGTCGATAGATTATATGGCATGATTGGTACATCAACATACCATGTTGGTACATCAACATACCATATTGATACATCAACTCACCATATTGGTACATCAACATACCATATTGGTACATCAACTCATCATGTTGGTACGTCAACTCACCATGTTGGTACATCAACTTACCATATTGGTACATCAACATACCATGTTGGTACATCAACTTACCATATTGGTACATCAACATACCATATTGGTACATCAACTCACCATGTTGGTACATCAACTAACCATGTTGGTACATCAGTTTATTATGACTCTTCAGCTAATTCTGCCTTCACGTAGTCACTTTTGCTTATAACAAAATCATTCAAAAAAACTCTGACTTTTAAGGCCATATTAATTTAAAGTAAAACAAAAAATAACAAATCCTGAGCTGCCTCACAACATATCGTTATGTTTGAATGTAATGAAAAAGATAAATAAATAATCACGTCGTCTTAATGTTAATGTAATGGAAAATGTGAAAGGTGATAACGACTACATCACCTAAACATTTTTACGATATTATGAACGGTATATAACTTTGTTCGTTATGTACACCGCGAGTTGCGTTTTTTATGCTTGTTTCTTCCCATGAGGTTTCACCGAAATGCGAAAACGCTAAAGACAAAGCAGGATTCCGTTTTTAAAGAGCCTTCTTCTCCGAGATGATTATTTGGTTCCTACGTCTTCCGTATGGCGGCGTGCCTCCGCATCTAAATGTTTTTCTCCTCACTTTAAACACACAAGTATCACATTTCTAAAAGGTAAAAGAAACCAGCGTATAACTTATAAAGGTATAAAACCCATACCGAAGAGTAAAAAAATTAAGATTTGTAAAAACTTATTATCAATCTTACTGTGACGTGGACATGGTATGTTGATGTACCAATATGGTATGTTGATCTACCAATATGGTGAGTTGATGTACCAACATGGTATGTTGATGTGCCAACATGGTATGTTGATGTACCAATATGGTAAGTTGATGTACCAACATGGTATGTTGATGTACCAATATGGTGAGTTGATGTACCAACATGGTATGTTGATGTGCCAACATGGTATGTTGATGTACCAATATGGTAAGTTGATGTACCAACATGGTATGTTGATGTACCAATATGGTGAGTTGATGTACCAACATGGTATGTTGATGTGCCAACATGGTATGTTGATGTACCAATATGGTAAGTTGATGTACCAACATGGTATGTTGATGTGCCA